TTTGTTTTGAGAAAGATTCTCCAAATATACCTGTATGTGGGGTGGGTAAGGCAGAATCATCTAGATTTTATGGATGGAGAAACTCATCTATTTCCTGTGTCAGATTCCTTGGGTAAGGAAGCAAGGAATGACAAGTCTCTAAAGGGGTTTACCTAGCATCACAAGGTGGGAGAGCTGGGAAACCGGGACTGACCTCCTCAGTCTTCCAGCAGTGAGTCCTGTTGCAAAGAAGCAGCTTGATGAAGGGGCCAAGGGCTTTGGAAGGAGAGGTGGACTTGAGGGCAAGTGTCCCAAACTCCCTGGGTCTCAGTTCTCATGGATACAGTGTGGGGCTTCCTGGGGCAGTCATACTAATGTGAGAGTTGACATGAAGCTTAAAATGAGAAAATGGCTGTAGAAGTATCTGACACATCTGCCCTCTCTACTGCATTGAGGGTGTCATGAGTCAACGTAACGACTGAGCATCATCATCATTATGCCTATGCCTTTTGAGAGGTTGCCCTGTACCAGACACTGTTCTAAGAGCTTCACATGAATCATCCCTTATAATCCTCACAACAACCTTCTGAAGTAATTATTATCCCCATTGGATTGATGAGAAAACTGAGGTATGGAAAGACTGAACAGTTTGCCCCAACTATGCATTTAAGAAAAGGCTGAGGCTTCCATCAAAAGGAATGAGATCTTGCCATTTGCAACGACGTGGATGGAACTGGAGGGTGTTATGCTGAGTGAAATAAGTCAAGCAGAGAAAGACATGTATCACATGACCTCACTGATATGAGGAATTCTTAATCTCAGGAAACAAACTGAGTGTTACTGGAGTGGTTGGGGGTGGGAGGGATGGGGTGGCTGGGTGATAGACATTGAGGAGGGTATGTGCTATGGCGAGTGCTGTGAATTGTGCAAGACTGTTGAATCACAGATCTGTACCTCTGGAACAAATAACGCAACATATTTTAAGAAAAAAGGAAAAGAAAAAGATAACAGGAGAGGAAGAAAAGGGGAGTATGTCAGAGGGGGAGACGAACCATGAGAGATGATGGACTCTGAAAAACAAACTGAGGGTTCTAGAGGGGAGGGGGGGAGGGGGATGGGTTAGCCTGGTGATGGGTATTGAGGAGGGCACGTTCTGCGTGGAGCACTGGGTGTTATGAACAAACAATGAATCATGGAACACTGCATCAGAAACTAATGATGTAATATATGGTGATTAACATAACAATAAAAAAATTAAAAAAAAAAGCCCAAAGACCAGATATTAGCCAATAAATAAATAAATAAATAAACTCTCAAAAAAAAAAAAAAGAAAAGGCTGAGGCTAGATTTGGCCTCAGTGCCTCCTTATTTATGGAGTAATAGAGCTGAAAGGAACTTAAAAAAACCACTGGGCCACAGGCTCAACCTCCAAGTCTTGTAATTTCAGATCTTCATCCCAAGAAATATTTTACTAATACAGTAGTCCAACTCATCTATGGGGGATACATTCCAAGACCCACAGTGGATGCCTGAAACCGCAGATAGTACTAAACCCTATACATACTGTTTTCTTCCTGTACAGACATCCCTATGCTAAAGTTTAATTTATAAATTAAGCACAGTAAGAGATTAACAACAAAAGCTAGTAATAAGATAGAACAATTGTAACAATAGACTGTAATAAGTTATGTGAAAGTGGTCTCACTCTCAAAAGATCTTACTGTACTGAACTAACCCTTCTTCTTGTGATGACGTGAGATGATAAAATGCCTACGTGGTGAGCAGAAGTGAGGTGAGTGATGCAGGCACTGTGACATAGTGTTAGGCTACTGCTGACCTTCTGATAGTACATCTGAAGGATCATCCTCTCCCTGACCATGGGTCACTGAAACTGCACAGAGTGAAACCTTGGATAAAGGGGGACTACTGTAAATTAAAATACTGAAGTTTGTGAAACATTTGCATTTGGTTATAATTAGAGTGGATTCAAGATTATTCTTATAATTTTTATAATTATATTCTTATACTGATTCCCATTTGTTTTATGCTTTAAAATGCTTTCTTGATAGAAGAGGAAGGGCAGAGTATACCTAATGGGCTGGGCTTGGTGACCAGGTTGACTTGTGTGAATGCATTATGTTTGTTTGGTTGACCTGGTGGAAACAAGGTATGGCCATTGGCTTCCTAGATACAGGCCAACATCTGCAAAAAGCTGCAGAAAAGAAATGAGGGAATTCACCAGGGCAGGCCCTATCTGTTGAGCCCTGGAGAGTTCAGCCTTTGACTTTGCTTTTTGTGAGCTAAGTCCAACTAAAGTACCACAAATTCCATGTCACTCATTACTTTGACAGAATTTAATTTAACAAATCCTTCTTCGAGTATGGGTGAGAGATTCAGTCACAGAGCCCAGCTGGTACAGGAGATTGAGGGTCCAGCTAGTAGTATTCTTTCTAGTGGGGCAATGCCACACACTTATGGGAATATTAGCATCATGAGTGACTAAAGGTGCTATTTAGAAATCAAAGTGACAACTTTCAACTGACATTTCTCAATATGTGGGACATTCTGCATGGGATTATTTTCTACTTGGAAGAAGAAAGAGTGGGCTGTCAAAGAAGGCAGAGGGGGGTGTCCAGTAGGCCTAAAGATAGGAGGGCACAATTATCCTCATGATTTCACAATAATAGAGCCCTTATAATGCATGCATTTCACTGACAATTTCTTTGAAAACTGGTGAAAACCGAATCCACTGGCACATTCAAGATGATAATTAAGTACATAACAGTGAGGCAAAATTCTGAAAACAGGATTTTCAAATATATGTTGATCGGCCTAATGAAAAGTCAATGATATTCCAAATTCTTTAGGCAAAGCCTGTACACACCTATGGGGTTTGTCAGTACAGACCAAGCAAGGTGAAAAGTTGAATGACTGCCCAGATAATTTGATTCCAAGAGTTTGCTTGGATCATTCAAACCAGTATTTCCCCTCTTCCTATCCTTCCCTGCCTCCCACCCCCATCCCTAGCTTTTCCCCAGCATATTTTTATATCTACAATGTCTCTGTATAACTATATAAACCTTCCATTTCACTTTGACTGTGTAGACATAGGCCTCAGCTACATATGTACATACAAAATACAGTAGAATTTCCAAGGGAACTGGTTGGGTGAAGTATACTGATCTGAAACTGTTTTCCTCTACTGTGCAGCTCCAGCCAGAGGCAAAGCAAAGTAAACTTGGATACATTACATCTAAAATCCTGGCCCTTCTTTCCAGGGTCTGAATTATTTGGATGATTGTCCAGACCTGACTGTGGATATCCAGGTACACAGGCATATTTCTGTGTATGTTTAGGCCATATAAATGATCTATATAGTGCCAAGTTCAAATATTTCCTTCTTTACTAATACTTATCCTTGAAATCTTAGAATACCTGCCTCCCTTTTACTTGGATTCTGGGATGAGTTAGAATATCTATGAGCAAGAGTGTTTGTTCAGAGCTATCCTTCCTCCAGAGTAAATATAGGGAGTCAGAATGGGGATTGGGATGGATTACAAAAGAAAGAAAAGAGCTCCTGCTCTCAAGGTGCTTACACTCTCATTTTATACTCAGCTGTTGTCCTATTACCAAACAGTAGGATGAAAAGAATATTCAAATGTTGAGATGGCAGTTGACTCAACAGCCAGCATTTACTTACTTGTAAATGAGTTTTTCAATTTTTAAATGGCATTCAGTAGATACAATCATATTGGCTATATAACACAAGTGGAGTGGTATTTGGAAAATTAACTCATCTACTTGATTCTCTTTTTTTAAAATTTTTTATTATTTATTTATTTATTTTAGAGAGAAAGCACACGAGAGTGGGGCGGGGGGCACAGGGAGAGGGAGAGAGAGAATCTTAAGCAGGCTCCACACCCAGCACAACGGAGCCCAACATGGGGCTCGATCTCACGACCCTGAGATCATGACCTGAGCCGAAACCGAGAGTCAGATGCTTAACTGACTGGGTCACCCAGGTGTCCCATACTTGATTCTCTTTAAAGAACTAATTTACAAGGTATGCATTTTATCCATGGCTATGTATAATGATTCAATAAACTCAATAGCTGTTAAATCTCTAAGGTAACTATTAAATCCGAGGTAGGATAAAAGATGATTGCAGAGCCTCTACCCTGACCATGTTCTCTACTGATCTGTTGCTGTTGACTTTGGCATCACGGAAAGAAAGAGAGGGAGAAACTGTTGAGAAAGAAGATGGAATGGGTTTGAACCTGCTGGGTTGTGGAATTAGATGTAGATGTAGAGGAGTTGTCCTCTCTCAAACCATTGGGGCCATTGTAAGAGTTAATAGATGTCATTATTTAAAGTTATCTCTTGGTTAGCACTAGTGGAGCTAAGCAATGATGCGAACATGAAGAAAAGAATTTTTATTTGAATTTGAAATGCATTGTGTAATTTTTTTTTTCCTATAGCAGATGTGTGGTCCTGATAATATTTTACTCAGGCTATTACTAAGTTACTTTATGTTACCCGAATCTATGTCTATTGTAGTGGAGGTGAGTGGCTGAAGCATAAATTGAGAGACTGGGAAAGGAGAGTCCCCTATTTAACTTTTGCCACAGGCAAGTCACCTGTGGATAATCAAGAGTTAATTGCATAATTCATAGGAAAAGTCAATGTTGAATTTGTAAGCACTTCTCCAAAGAATATGAATGTTGGGGAGCCTACCACTGAAAACTAAATCAAAACACTTTTATTCACATTAGCAGGTATGTTTGGCCCTAAGTACCCAAGCATCAGGCTGACCTTTCCAATGGACTTGAGTGCTTCTGCCCCAGACATTAAAATGCTCTTGGAGCAGGGCAGTGGAGATTTTGTGGGAAGGAGGACCTAAGTTTTGCTGGTGGCCTTTTTCAAAGCATGTTTTGTGGGATTGACCATTTCCCCCTGCAAACTCTTGGCCTCTATTTTCTCTGGAAGTCCGGTTTGGACAAGAACAGATGACCCATGTCTCCTGACTTGCTGACAGTCCATACGAGTCGTGCCTATAAAATGGCACAGGCCACCGAATGTTCACCATGAGGGTGAACGGGTGATTTCCATGTGAACTCCTGATGAGAAATGCTCCAGAGTAGGTACTGATCAGCCTTCTTTAGTGTTCGAGGCACTTTTCTGAATTTCTTGGGATAAAAACCATTTCCAGCAAGTTGCTAGTCTCCTCTGGGTGTAAGGACAAGCCATATTTTTTCCGTAAACTTTCAACACACTCTCCTTGCAATGTCTGCACGTGGAATCGTCTCAGTAGTGTAACCAGGACGACTTTCATCATCACCATGGCGATGTACTTTCCTGCACAGCTGCGGGGCCCAAAACCGAAAGGCTGAAAATACCTGTAAGGAACCTATGAAAACGATCAGACAGTTAGCCAGAGTCATGCAGTCTCTGTTTGATTCACCCTGAAACCACTGATGGGTCAGAATGCTGTGACAGGGTCCAAACCATACTGTCCCCTCACTGAGATGAGTGACTGTAACTTCTTCATCCAATGTGATTCACCCCCTGTGATATATGCCCAGTTTGGACAGTCCCCACTTTTGCTTTTCACATAAATTTGCTGGGGTAAAGCAACGCACATCATCTTATTACAGCCAGTGTTAGCATACTCAACTAGGTCTGTGGGATGGGCCACAGCTTTACTACACTTCTGCATGTCACCAAGGCAAAAATTGTTTCTGTGCAAAGATGTTGACTCTTGGCCTATTAGCACCAAGCATCCAGATATTTTTAGTTCTGCAAAAAATTAATGGGGACCACATCTGTCTGTCTTGTTACCATTTGTGCTTACATAGTACCTGGCACATAGTAGATGCTCAATAAGTTTTTGTTGACCAGTTGTCAGTATAGCATGGGTTGCTCACACAGAAACGGAATGAATTAGAGAACTGGATTAATTAAGATTGTGTTTCTACATTAGATGCAAATGGAAAAAGAGGACAGTGAGGGAAATATCTGGAAAATTTGGGTTAATTAACATCATTGCCTAAAATTTGACATAATTGAAGCAGAATCTACAGTATATTTCAATGATAGAAAAAGCTAAAGCTCTTCTGATTACTGAATTCTATTTAGAATGGGAACTAGTGTTCATGGGGCCATTTGGTGAACCAAAGGCAGACTGCGAAAACAATCTTTTGGTCTCGTTTGATTTCCATCTGAAACACAACTGGATTTTCCTTTACTTAGATGGTGCTAGAGCTGAGTCTATGTGATTACAAAGTGACAAGTTGAAATGGAAAAGTAGGTTGGTTGAGTTAAACAACATTTGCCTCATGGTAGCCAAATTAAGGGCCTGGACTTTTCACATTTTGACCCATTGTGTGGCCACTATGTGGATAATTCTCAGAGCTGGAGACCCAGCATCCATGGCTTGAGGATGAATATGGTAGTCATGTTCTGAGCCAGAGGAAACATGTTCTTCTGGGGAGGCCATGGAGGGGAAGAAGTAAATAGAATGAAATGTACATGGTGCAAACACAGAACCAGAGAGGGTTTAACAGTTGAGATTTTTAAGAGTGGTGCACTTGGTTTTAAGGAAGGGCTCTTACATTCTTTGCAAAGTTTTCAAGAGTAAATTCATTGGGCTTGGGGAAAAACTCTAGTCTATGCATTCTTCCAATATTTAGGATAATGTTAGTCCCCTTTTTCACTGGGTAGCCATCGATGACATCATCCTGTAAGGCTTTGCGCATGACCAAGTTCACAACAGGCTGGTACCGCATGCTCTCGTAGATAAAGTTTTCCACCACTTTTAATTTTTGCATATCATCAATTCTTACATCTCTTTCACCTGCAGGAACAGATAAACAGGACAAGGAGGTAATGATAGTTTCATTATGTGATGGGCATTAAAACTCCCATCATTTCCATAGAACAGCCTGCTCCTGGCTGGAAAAAAAAAAATTTTTTTTCCCTAGAATTCTAATGCAAACCAGTAACCAGGGCCAAATATGTCATTTGGTTCACAGCGTGTTTTGTAAAAATTCAGATTTGAAGCCAATTACTATAAAACCTAGGAGATTTCATGGAAAAGCCTGGATTTCTGGAAAAGTCAGAAAACCTGGTGATATTGGACCCACATCCCTACATGGCAATGACAGGCTGAACTTGAGTGGCCGATGAGCCCTTTAGAGGGACATCCCCCTGCAGTTATATGTATACCTACACAGTCTGCTTCAAACATTTATCTGCCTGGCCTCTGAGGTCTTTGAGTTTTGTCTCCTCCTCTAAATTCTAGGGGACATTCATTCCTTCTCTAGTCAAAATGAAATGGTGAATTAAATCCCTTTCAATGACATTTTCTCCTCTGGTTGCCTGTGCAGTCATCTGCCTGGAACGCATCACTGATAGTCCCTCCTTCCATCTCATCAAGAACAACCTATTGCGGTAGAGTGGCAAGAACCTCTCTCCCTACCACAGCAAAATAGGTGCCTCAGCTAAACTTTGGGTGTCCTGGAGATTGACAGATACTCCCACTGTTTCAGATTGGCCTGACACTGGTCACAGAGGCTTGGATTACTCTCAGAATTGACAAAGTTTCAGAACATCCTTGAATGGGTTACCACTTTCGCAGAATCAAAATCAGCCCAGGGTCCTGAGGCAGCTCTGTCTCCTGTACAACTACACCATTCAGAAAGGATCTCATTTGGTCAGAGAACTCTAACAGCCCTGCCCCTTGCATACTGCTCTCTGTACACTCAGGGTCTAATGGGGTACATTGACCTGGGGTGAGGGGGTAGAAGGGAAGACGATAGAGAAGGTAACCAGAGGCATTCCCTAGGAAGTAATTAATATGTATGTGTATCTAGAGGGAGCACGAACACAAGTACAAATTGTTCAGCTGTTTTCCATCTTTGCAGAGGTTTATTTTTTATTGTTATGTTAATCACCATACATTACATCATTAGTTTGTGATGTAGTGTTCCATGATTCATTGTTGGGGCACAAACACTTTTCATCTCTCAAGGAAATTGTATTAAAGGCTCATGGTTTCAAGAGCATTTTCCCATTGTTGCCTGAACTGCATCATTCTATGACTCTTCACTCCACTGGGTTTGCTTGTTAAGTTCTCTTTCTCCTGCCAGCCTGTGAGCCCCATAAGTATAGGAATAGCTCTGGCTTAGTCACTGATGTGCCCCTGCACCTGACCCAGAACCCATAACCTGACAGGGGGCACATGAGAAACCATTCTGGAATTTGGAGCTTGGATGTTATTCTGGCTTCCTGCTATCTATCTTCCCAGGCGATTTCCCATTTACAGCAACACATCTGTAGACCCTTTCTCTCACGTATTTAACTCTTCTGTGAAATTTCCCCTTACTATCAACTGTTTCAAGTAGCACTCAAATGGCTTTATTTTTTTTTTAAGATTTTATTTATTTATTTGAGAGAAAGACACAGAGAGAGAGGGAACACAAGCAGGGGGAGTGGGAGAGGGAGAAGAAGGCTTCCCGCGGAGCAGGGAGCCCAATGCGTAGCTCTATCCCAGGACCCTGGGATCATGACCTGAGCCGAAGACAGATGCTTAATGACTGAGCCACCCAGGTGCCCCTCAGATGGCTTTAAAAAATGGTGGACTCTACAACCAAATAAGTCATTTCACAGGGATTTTGTATAAGGTCAAGAGAGAAAAGTCGATGTCATTACTGATATCTCTTCACATGTCAGAAATGTGTTCCTAAAAAGACTATCCATGTAGGGCCGCCTGGGTGGCTCAGTCGGTTAAGCTTCTGACTCTTGATTTCCGCTCAGGTTGTGATCTCAGGGCTGTGAGATCAAGCCCTGCCTCAGGCTCCAGGCTGTCTCTCTCCCTCTCCCTCTGACCCCTTCCCAACAACCCCACCCACCCCATGTGCATGATACCTGCACGCACTCTCTCTTGCCCTCTCTCTCTCTCTTAAAAAAAAAAAAAATTATCCATGTGAAGGACATTTCAAATAAGGAATTCTGTTTTTTCCCCCAGAATGCAATTGTGATTTCTTCCGAATGTGACAGTGTTTGTATGGAAGGAGGTGGCAGCGTCAGGAGCAGTGGGCAGAATGATGCTCAGGGAAAGGCAGAGCAGGGAAAATGTAGTGTCGGGAAGAGCTGAGCAGGGATCTGGTGGAGGAGGAGAGGGCAGGGGGAAGAAGGGTCCAGCATCACTGGATTTGGGGGAGAGGGAAACTGATCACTCTCCTGCCTTTGCCATTTTCCTCCCCTTGTCCTTCTGCCACTGACTGGAAGTTCACTTGTGGACAGACAGCTTAAAACCCAGAAACACTGCTGGAGATGATAGTCAGTTCCCTGGGTGGACCCACAAAAGCATTTGGCCCTGGTAACGTAGGTAGGCAGAACATTTACATGCACATTAAGAAAGACCTTGAAGAATATACAGCAAAGTATTAACAGTGGTTCCCCCTGGGGAATGCAAATGAGGCTGGGGAGGAGAGTGGAAGGGGTAGGGAATGTCACTTTCTGCTTTATACATCTCTGTGTTATTTAATTTTTTTTTAATGAGCATGCATTATTTTTATAATAAAAAAAAAACACAGTAAGAATGGAACTAACTTTGCAACCTATCTGGCATAACCAAGTGTGGCAAAGTGACTACCTTTATTGTTCTCTGGGTGGATTATAATAAAGATTTTGTTTGAAATCAGATTCTTAGGACATAAAAAGCTGACGTTCAGAGGGAATTGTTTTCTAAAGCTCTATTATTATTTGATCAGTTCTTACCAATAACAGTCTGGATCTCCTTCATTATTGCCTCTTCAACCTTAGGGTGCTTTGCAATGAGAAACAGCATAAAGAACACAGAGACAGACATGGTATCTGGTGCTGCAATCAGCATTTCCAGTATGCACTGGTTCACATTCTCTCTTGTCAAGTCACCACGTTTCTGAACAATTGGAAAAAGGGAGAAAAATTGGAAAAGTGAATCAAAGCTTCCAAAAAGAAGGGAAAGGGACAGTCGGGATCAAAAACATCAATGAAATGAAGTCATAAATATTCAATCTCTGTAATTGACTATGGACATTTTTCATAGTAGTCTTCAGCTGAAAGCGGAGAAATTTAACCAATTATCTATGCATTTACTGTCTCTGGGCTCTCTCATTTTCATATTTTGTATTGTCCAGACACAGTAGTTTCAATCTTAAAGGTTAGTTTTACCAGAATGTCTAATGAGTGTGCTCTTTGGGTTGTCATTATATAAGTACTAGAGCAGATACTTAAAAGCAGAAGTATGAAACAATTACAAGAGGGGATCTTTACATAACCTATACACAGTCAAGTACATATATTGTGTGGGAATTATGGTTAATCCAGGTCAGTACCTCAGCAAAAATCAACTCGGTGGCAAAATCCATATAGTCTTCCAGTTTCTCTGCTGTGGAAATTCTGTGTCTTTTTTCTTCTATCAGAATTTCCATGGCATCTTTCAAATCCTTGCTAAAAAAAAAAGTGAAAATATAATCTATCTGTAGTCAGTTAAGACATCTAGAAAAATGAATTCATTTGCCATTTGTTTAAATAAAATTGTCTGCTTTAATTGAAGCCATTAGCACTCACGAATAACTGAATTTAAACTTAATTCTTCATAAAGATTAAAATAAAAATAAAAAATAAAAAGATAAAAATTAAATTACATATTCATTATACTTCATGTTAAGGAACCAAATTTAGCTAAGATTTCTAGGTACTGGTAGCAAAATGAAGGCTGTAACCTCTAGTTAAAGGTTAAAAGCTGGTACCAAAATGGCAAATCCAGTCGTGTTTTCTGATTTTTGATGTGTCCAGTACAGTGTCTAAATTGAAAAACAAAACCAAAAACCAGTGGCAAGCACTCTCCAATTTGCCCCAGGCACCTTCACTTCCTGTTGACTCGTAACCACCCAGCCCGTTTTCCTTTGCCCAGCTCTGGAAACAATTGAGTTTGAGATTTCCTACTCTAGAAAGTGAACACAAGGGATCAAGTATGATTCTTGATATTTATTCTTGTACCTTGCAGTTTCTGCCACATAGTAAACATGAAGTAGATATATACTGACTGACTAGCCGCATGAGTAGGTATAGTGTATGCATTTTGACAGTGTGGGAGAGGGAAGAGCACCTTGGAAAGAGAGAGTCAGGTTCTAGTTCGGATTGTTCTCTTTCTATGTAACCTACTTTACATCTCTGAAGGGCTCAGACTCCGTGAACAATAAGTTCATCTTAAGATCTAGGTTCTGCTATTCTTGCCTTTGTCTTAAAGTGTATGCCTCCATGTGTAAGTGTATTGTCCCCCAATCTCAGGGAATGGTATTCTGCATTACATTAAATGTACAATAAATCTTTCTTTGAAATTTTTGTTGACATGGTCACCTGTACACCCTGTTGATGATGTTGACATAAATAGCCTCTATGTTTACTCCAGTGCAGCTGGAAAAGTAAGGGAAGATTCTTTAAGATTCCTCCCACTTTTTAAAATTTCTTTTGGGCATCTCAAAAAGGCGTTTATTTTTTTTTAAGATTTTATTTATTCATTTCTCGTGGTGGGGGAGAGAGAACAAGCAGGGGGAGCGGCAGGCAGAGGGAGAAGCAGGGTCCCCACTGAGCAAGGAGCCTGACGCAGGACTTGATCCCAGGACACTGGGATCATGACCTGAGCTGAAGGCAGACGTTTAACTGACTGAGCCACCCAGGTGTCCCTCAAGGAAGGTGTTTAAACATTTGAAGAGGTATTCTTCAGGCTAGTATAGTAATTGTGTCACTCAAAATGAGGGTGCCATCTATTGTGTATCTCTGTAAATGTGCCTACAGATACATACATACCTCCAGGAATACACCAAGGAATATTCACATTCATTCATTCATCTACCAGTCTATTTATTCAGCAAATATTTATTGAAACTCTTACATAGAAGGGACAGATATTCACTCAGTTGGTGGGCTGTGAATGCTCGTAGCATTCCTACCTGAGCAAGGGCCCCTAAATGGTCTAGGAGTTGTTGAAATGCCCTAAGACTATAAATTCATGGAGAATTCCTTGATGGAACTACAGCCACCTCTGAACATCTATTTCCTCCCTGAGCCAGACTTGGGGGCCTGTGAATGCCCATTGGGATCCTCCTTATTCAGGTTAACGTATGCATCTGAATTTATATGCCCTTAAAAACTGGGAGAATTGAGTTCAGTGACAGTCTTCAGGGAACAGGAAATCTCTGACTTACAAACATGTATTATAAGAATATATCTGTGAGTCTGTGTTTTGGAACTCTGAGCGTATTTTTCACCCAAACAAGGATGGCTAGGTTATCAGTCCAGGCCACAAATACCTATTTAAGGTATTCTGCAGCTAAAAAGCCTTAAACTTGCCAGAATAAAAAGTAGAAAACAATACTGCTGTAATATTGGGAATTAAGACAGGCAGAAGTATAAAATCAAATAAATAGGGATGGGAGTAGATGTCCCAGAATCCTTTCCATCAGTATATTTCTAAAAAGTATTGGCACGACAGAGAAAGACAACTAGTATATGATCTCATTTATATGTGGAATCTTAAAACAAAACAAACTCTAGCTCATAGATACAGAGAACAGATTGGTGGCTGCCAGAGGTGGGGGTGGGGGGTAAGGCTGGGCAAAATGGCTGAAAGGAGTCAAAAGGTACAAACTTCTAGTTATAAAATAAATAAATCATAGAGACATGATGCACAACATGGTGACTATAGTTAACAATACTGTATTGCAGATTTGAAAATTGCTAAGAGAATAGATCTTAAAAGTTTCCACCATAAGAAAAAAGTTTTGTAACTAGATATAATGGTGATCATTTCACAATATATACAAATACTGAGTCATGATGTTGTTTGTATACCTGAAAGTAATATAACATTTTATGTCAATTATACCTCATTTAAAAAGAAACAAAACAAAACATTGACATTATTGCAATGGGCATGGGATGGGAGAGGAGATTAAAAGATTTCTCAAAGTCTTTACTGCTCTAGGATATAGGAGATATAGATTAATGTACTGACCATTGGCAAATATTATATACAGAGGGAGAGTTGCGGAGCTAATTTCTATAGAAACCTAAGAGAAACCATTATACAATTTCATGCAATAAGTTTCAGTGGGCTGGCTGGCCAAAACCAAAGCCATACTAATGACCAGGAACTATAAAATGAGACACAACACTGCCAAATTTGAACATAGGGAAGAGATGAATCCTTTATCTCATTGATTCAAGTCACAATAAGCTCTGGTGGAAACTAAATGAAATGTATAAAGACCCAAGTGTCCAAATCACCCACCTAATACTCACCAACCACATGAGAATATATAAAGCAACATCAAGTTGGCTTCCTTCCTGGAGACTAATATGATTAAATTTCAAAATACACAAACAGGATAAAGTTGGGTCTTCAAACAAGTTGGGAACTTTTAGAGATGGAGAATTTAAGATCATCAGGGCCATCCAGGAAAAGATATGAACAGAGGGAAGGAGAAAACTAACATCTTTAGTGCCTTCTATGTGCCATCCTCTGTCTTAATTGCCCTATGTATAGGATCTCATTAATCTATATCTCTATTCTGGAAGGTAGGTTATATTTTACTTTAAATAACTTCCCAAAGCCATTTAGTTACTATGCGGTAGAGACAGGATATAAACCAGGTCTGTCTGTCTCTAAATCCTATAGGCTTTTCACTAGTGGTTAGAGGGGGCAGTGTTTAGTGGCTGGCTACTTAAACTCTAGAAACCTATTTTTTAGCCTATAGGCCATTGGGCATTTGTCCAATTTTTGTCTAGACTCATCTGTAACCAAAGCAAAGTCATTAATGACAGTTTCAGGATTCCCCAAAGACTAATATCTATGACTAAAAAAAAGGAAATCACACATTTTATTGAAGTCCATTATATTCATTGTGAAAAAATTCTTTTGAGACTGCTGTTAATTCCTACAAGTTGAATTATATTAAATTCATTCAGAAGCAACATGACTATAAAATGATTTTGTGTTTCCATTTTCCAGATATGAAAAGAGAATTTTTACAGATAATAATGATAGGTTCAGCCAACCCTTCTCTTCAACTCAAACTACACTGCGATGTCCTAATTCCAGACATGGGGCTCACAGACCACCCACTTGGCCCCCTTGCTGAAAAGTTGCCTGGGCCCAACGCCTCCCTTACTCTTGGGTCTGGCCACTGCGTGCAGCCAAATTGCTGTACAGTGTTTCATCAGCAACATAATCCACAGCTCCCCTGTGGGTTCTGAAGAGGAGAACACTAGCTGAAGAGGCCAACAACAGCAAAGAAACAACCCAAAGTCAATCCAATCTCACTGATAAGTTTTCCCAACTTGTGTTACTTACACAGACTTTTCATACTTTTTGTATAGCCAAGAAATCTTAAAGAAGATGTCTGGTTTGAGAAGGAGAGCTTGCCATGCATCAAAATAACCCTGGATTTTAACCACGATGGCACTTTCTGGAAAAACAAAACAAACAAAAGAGCAGAGAAGTTGAGCAAAAATGTGAGCCCGAGAAGGGTATTCTGAGAAGAGAAGATCCCCTGTATAGAGTTTCTTACCAGCCTGGGCTTCAGTGGGTGTTTCAGCCATATGAATGCCACTAGACAAACCAACATTAATTTATTCTGCTTGACATCTAAATTAACCAAGTTAACCAGACATGTGCCACTTTTCAAGTTTGTGTTAGAGACAAAGCTTAGAATCTCACATGCCCCTCTTGGATTGAGTGTCCAACTCCTTCCTGTTTTTTTGGACGATGGGAAATAAGAGGGACACCAGGAATTATGGCTGTTATTGGCCTCAATTCTGGCACCTGCGAGGGCAAAAAGCCATGCCACTTTTCTGGTTGCATTTTGGTCCAGAGTATAGAATTCATCTTAGTATCCCTAATATCTTGTCCTGAGCCTCATCACTGTCAGCTCCTAATGAACGTCCTTAAATTGCATGTTTGGGGAAACAAAACCCCTGCTTTTTTCAAACTGTAGAAAAAGGAAGGGAACAGACATTTCTTTTCAACTGCTAAGTACCAGTCACCATGCAAAACGCTTTACGGAAGAGACCTCATTTAATCCTTACGGTCTTGCTAGGGGAGTGATATAGTGTCATCACTTTTTCAGATGAAGAAACTGCGGTTCATAGAAACTGGGAAGCTTGCCTAACACCATACAGACAGTGTGGTAGGTAGGCCCTTAGGCTGGAGCCCAGCCCTATCTGACCTCAGAGCAATGTTCTTTCCTCTTGTTGCACTGGCTCCCTTAGGCAAATTGAGAGTTTAACCAGGACAGGGTGTGGAGAAGAGGAATCAAGGTAACTCTGCATGGGTTATGCAGGTTCTTAGCATCACAGCCGGCATCCCTAAATTAACAGAGAGGTTTACAATTCTGTTTACTTCATCCTTCCTAAGAACTGAGGCGAGCCGGGGACCATGAAGCGGGGACTAATAAAATACGGACTTGCCTGACCTTCAGAGAGCTGCATGTAGGACAGGCCAGCTGGGATTAGAGTTCCTGTCTGAAGGGGATGAGACAAGGGGTGTGACTAAAAATACTCAGAGTTGAATGGGGCTCCCATTCAAATGGCAGTCAGATGAGGTTTCTGTGACTCTTGTAAAAAGCCGGGGACATGAGGTAAGCAGAGCTAGAGGAGAAAAGGAGGGCTTATAGCTTGTCCGTTCTTCCAAATGTGGCCAATGAGGCCCTGTTCCCTCCCTCAAACCCGGATGTGGCTCCCGGTCTCATTTCATTTAGGCTGATGTCCAGGTGTCCTCCCTGTGCAGGCCTTTCCTGACAACCCTCTCTGGGATAGCCACCCACTCTCCCTCCTTCACTTCCTATCCCCTTGCCCTGCTTCGTTTATTCTTCAGGGCACTTAGTATTGCCTGATGTGTTATTAGCTATTTACTTGTTTGTTGTTTATATTGCCACTGGGATGTGACCTCCTTGAAGGCAAGGACTTTACCTGTCTTGTTCACTGCTCGATCCCCCGAACCTAGAACAGTGCCTAGCATAAAATAGGCAATTAGCAAATATTTTTTGAATGAATGCATGAGTCAGTGAACATGCTAGAATTCAGGGAAAATTGCATTAAGCTGGACAATAGCAGCATGGAATTAACCCAACTGATTATTTATTTTTTAATGGTGATAGAGTTGCATGTATATGTTTTAATATTTGTTTCTGGAGTATAGTGAAGGGAGTAGCTCTTTTGAGTGGGACATTCTTGCCAGAGTTGTGATAATGCTAAATGACAAACTCTATGTAAAGCTACTCTTTTATAGTAGATTCTAAATTAATGGTAGCTATTTTCATCATTGCCAACAGCACCAGCACCAGCACCATTATCATTGTATAGACAGAGTCCAAGTTTTCATGCTTAGTAGCTTTGAGGGAGGAGGGTACATGTATATTTATGTACATATGTATGTATATCTCTGCGTGTGCATGTGTGTGTGTGTGCCTGTGCCCACAAGAATGGTTGGAATTGGTTAAATTTATCAGTTTGATTGGTAGTAGGGTATATTCATGGCCAAATGAACTGATCACATTTGTCAAGTTTTGACTGTGGATAGAATCATATTTCCCAGAGCAATGAGGAGAGATACAAAAGAGGAGATGGCCCCTACTTACAGAAACTTCTGTCTTATAAATGAACAAGGCAGACACACTAGGAAAAAAGAATCATAAGAATACTTAGAGATGTTTGAACAAGAGCAATGTACAAAAACAGCATTATCTTTCCTTGAGTCTCTTATCCCCTTCATCCCCTTGTTCAATAAAGGGCAGAACGTCAATTCTCAAGTACCGTCCAAGGGGATCCCCAGGAAGAGAATGTTAGAGGTGTCCAGCATGATGCGCCGCATGAGGGTCAACACATCGATGTAACCCAATTCGTTGCTGACCTCCTCCAACCTGTCCAGATGTGTGATGATGGATCCAACACAAATTGTCACCATGCGCACAAGGCCGGGGCCAGACAAAGCTGAGGGTAACACATCAGAGAGTGAGTCACATGAACTCAGGGGCATACACAATCAGGTTATTTTGGCCTTTTCTGTTTGGAGTTTAACTATACGTGATTTTTTATTCAGTAACTTGGCAGAAAGTCATGTTCTTTTTTATACTTTTCTGCATTCTCCTAATTTTCTACAAACATGTACCACCTTTATGGGCAAAGGGAATGAATGAATGAATGAATGAATGAATGAATGAATGAATAAAAATCTTATTTTAAACAAAATATTCAAAATTAAACTCTTCTTCATGTTATGGAAAATCATTTGTGAGCCTGCAAATGAAACATTTACTACTTGTGGTCATGAATCACACATCAGTGGTTTTCCATATTTACTGTATATATATATATATATATTTCTCTAAAGAAGGTTTGGATTTGGCAAGGGAGATATTTATGTTTCAACCGGTGGCAGGGTATTGCTATTGAACTACTCAAACTGGACCTTAACTATTTGATCTAAAGTGCTTCCTGTTTAATTGTGGTTTATATGGTTCAAAATGCTAGTCTTACAACTTATCAAAAGGGTTCTTAATTTTGGTTTCTCTTCACACTACTTCTAGATTTGTTTTACTCAACCAATGAGTAAAAGTCATGACAACTAAGCAATTTTTTTGTTTGCGTACTAGTCTTCCCAACTGGTTGGGAATTCTTGAAGGGCAGTGACAACCAACCTCCTATTAGCACTGTCCTTCAAGTCCACAGTACATGGTGGCCTTCAAATCATATTTGTCATAAGTAGAGACAGGTAGAGTGAATTGGCTCTGCTCTAGATCATCTGGGTAGCTAGTGGTTCGTGGTGGTAGGTGATCTATCTAGAGTTTAACTCTTAAAGCCCTCCTTTCTCTCTTTGTTCTATTTTATTTAAGCTTTCTTTAAGAGTTATCTCTCCTATTTATGTCTTTTATTATTCAGACTTACTGTTAAAGTCAGTTCTTGAAATGCAATGAAAAATCCTGGGGAAATTTGTAGTCATAATTCTTTCTTAAAAAAAAAAAAACAATTATCAGTTGCACAACAGAAGCCCATGAAGGCAGGCTTTGCAAATAAGAAAGGAAGCCTGGGGAGCGGTTCTAGATTCTTAAGATTTCTCCTTATATGTAAAAAGGAAGGTTGTGTTGGTAGCATACTTTCTGACTGTAGGAAATACCTGGCCGATATGAAAGGCCAGGCTGTTGTTTCCTGGGTGACTATCACATTCACAGGTGGGACACATGATTCCTTAATGACTCAGCACTTTTTGCGGAAGGGTTGGCTTCGAATATCACTGGTGGTTTCCTCCCAGACTGATGTATGACTTGCCTCTATGTCCTAGAACTGGAAGCCATGTTTCAAACGTATAAGCAAAATGTAGTATCATTGCTTATAGGCAGGGGCATGATGTGGATATAATTTTAATTTTTAAAATGTGTGAAAAAGTACCGAATCTTATCCAGGTTAAAAAAAGTGAGCAAGTAATCAGCATAATTCCTTCACTATGGACAACTCTCTTGGCAGTTTCAGAAACAGAGGCTATTTCTTGTCCCTCCACCTTCATTTCTCCAGGATGGGCCATTTGCCTAGGCTGCACATCACTATTTCTCCATAGATACACCCAGGCAATCAATGCTTTCATTAATGTTACTACTTTAGATACCAAAACATACCCTCAATTTTCTACTATATCAGGAAAACTAATGAGAAACATAACTCTAAAAGGAGATTCAAGAAATGCTTGGGGGGGCTCCTGACTGGCTCAGTCAGTTAAGTGTCTGCCTTCAGCTCAGGTCATGATCTCAGGGTCCTGGGATCGAGCCCCGCATCGGGCTCCCTGCTCAGCGGGGAGTCTGCTTCTCCCTCTGCCTCCACCTCTCACTCATGTTCTCTCTCTCTCAAATAAATAAATAAAATTTAAAAAAAGAGAAATGCTTGGGACTCATTGATTACTAAAAATGTCAGACACAACAGGGAACTTTGAATAAGCAATCAGACTTCTATTATTTTTTTTAGACATCTATTTTTGGCATTTAATCTGGGTAGTTTTGTAATGTTTTTATGAGAAAATCTGATCTATATATATAGGGCTTATCTTAAAAAAGGATTTTTTAAATTGATTCCAAGTGCTGTAGATTCTACTCTTTTTTTAAAAAAAAAGATTTATTTATTTATTTTAGAGAGAGGGAGTGAGGGGTTGCAGAGAGGGACAGAGGGAGAGGGAAAGAGAATCTCAAGCAGGCTCCGTGCTGAGCGCTGAGCCTGACTCGGGGCTCAATATAATGACCTGAGATCATGACCCTGAGATCACAACCTGAGCCGAAACCAAGAGTCAGACACTTAACTGACTGCACCACCCAGGTGCCCCAGATTCTACTCTTTTAACATCTCTTACATTGATGACTTCCCTTCCATCCACCCTGTATCACTGCAGTAGCTCCTAATTGTTCTCACTTCTTACAGTCGTGCCTTCTGTCAATGAATCATTCATTCTGCTACCAGAGGAATTTTTCTAAAACTCAAATATGTTCATGTCATTCTGCTTAAAATTTTGAATGATTTACTGTAGCTTTTGAGATAAACTCAGTTCAGTGCCTTCCCCTTGGCCTATGCCTACATGTATCCATGCCAGGCCTGAGAGCCTACTTACAGTTAGTTCCCTGGACATACAGTGCTGATCTACCCTTCTCTGTTTTGGAGTATCCTGTTCTTTCCTTCTGTGGAATGCATCCTTGTCAAACTCTCTTAATGTAGGTGGCTTTTACCTTCTTTCCAGACTTATCGTAAGCATTCACTCCTCAGAAAGCTTCCCATGACCCCTCAGGATACTTTAGATGGCCCATTTTTTCTGTGCCCTGTAGCACTCTGCACACACCTCAAGCATAACACATCACCTAGGATGATATTTGGTGATGTATTGATCTGCCACCCTGCCCCTCCCCCTATTATAAATTCCTTGAGGGCAGGGACCATGTCTTGACTATCATTGTATTTTAGGTACCTAGTTCAATGATAAGAACACAGTAGTTTGTTAAACAAATGGATGAGTTTAGAAAATTCTATTAATCTAAAAAGTTTAAAAATTCTATTAATTTTTACATGGCAAGGTAGAGGATGTTGGTATGTGAGAGTTAATTGCTCCTAAATACTAGTTCACATGTTCCTAATGTGCCTGGGCCAAACTGCAAAGAAAAAAAACTTACATTTCAAATCTTGTCATTTGCAACAATGTGGATGAACCTAGAGGGTATGATGCTAAGTGAAGTAAGTCAGACAGAAAAAGACAAATGCCACATGACTTCACTTATATGTGGAATCTAAAGAACGGAACAAATGAACAAACAAATGAAAAGAAATAGACTCAAACGCAAAGAACAAACTGGTCGTTGCTAGAAGGGAAAGGGTGTGGGGATGGGTGAAATAGATAAAGGTGATGAAGAGCTACAAACTTCCAGTTATAAAATAAATAAGTCATGGGGATATAATGTACAACATAGGAAATATAGTCAATAATATTGTCACATTTTTGTATTGTGACAGATGGTGACTACACTTATCGTGGGGAGCATTTCATAACATGTATAATTGTTGAATCACTAAGTTGTACACCTAAAACTAATATAATACTGTATGTCAACTCTACTTCAACAAAAACAAATAAAACACCACATTTCTTTAGGATCTTACAGCATTATTTCATTTATTCTTCATAATAACCCTAGAGTTAATGTTCTATTGTCTTTATCACCTTTTGTGGAGAAGGAAACTGAAGCTCGGAGAGGAGTGCCTTGTCCAAGGTCATATAGCCAGTGAGGTGGCAGAACTAGGACTTGAACCCCAAACCTATAATCCTGAGGCCTGTACCCTTTTCGTTAACCCAGTCTGCAGTTTTCTAAGGCATGAGAGAGGATTGATCTGCCCCAACACGAGTGGTAGGCAGAATAATAGCCCCCAAACCTGTCCAGGTCCTAGTCCCTGGAACCTATTAATATGTTACTTTACGTGGAAAAAAGGACTTGACACAACTGATTCAAGTTAAGGGCCTTGAGATGGGGAGATTACTGTGGATTATCTGGGTGGGCCCAACCTAATTACATGAGTCCTCAAAAACAAAGAACCTTTCCCAGCTGACGTCAGAGTCAGAAAGTGATGTGATGACAGAAGAATGGTCTGAGAGACATGATGGAAAAATGACTCGACCCACTGTTGCTAGCTTTGAAGGCAGAGGAAGGGGCTGTAGGCCTAGGGATGCCGGTGGCCTCTGAGGCTGGAAAAGACAAAGAAACTGATTCTACTCTGGAGCCTCCAGCAAGAAACACAACCCAGCCAGCACCTTGGTGTCAGCCCATTGAGACCCATGTCAAATTTTTGACCTACAGAACGATAAGATAATCGATGTATTGTTTTAAGTCACTAAGTTTGTGGCAATTTGTTACAGCAGCAATAAGAGACAAATACAGTGGAGTCTACAATAGAGTTGTATGAATCTTGGTAATGGGCAACTCTGTAGAGAGAATCAGTGCTCAGCTGGGACAGACATAGCTTCTCAGTAGCCACATGGGAGGCATCCAGGTTCACTACAGAGGCTGGCTTAGAGGGAAGAATATTGCACTGTCAGACCTAAGATCCATCTAGCCCCAGATTCTATCACTGACAGTGTTTCCAGGACATGATTGTCTTCTTTGATGTTGATGTCAAAGACTGGTCATGGATATTCCCCAACTGCTTCATTTCCAACAAAATACAGTAAAGGGGGAAATCACTAGTCAAGGAGCCTTGGGATCGGATCTCTGCTCATCTATTATTTGCTATGTTGTCTGAGCAAAAATCACAACCTCTCTAGGACTGCATTTCCCCAACTATAAAATTCAGAGACTGGACGAGATGACATATATAGTCCTTCCTAGTTCTAAAATCTCTAATTTTATTTGCAAACTGCTTTCTGTTAAAATACCTGTGATGTCAGTCAGTGATTCAGCAAACACATTGTTTGGCTATGTTTAAATCAAACATGTGACTGACACACTAAATTCTTAATTGAAATGATCCTAAATACAGAGCTCTATCTCTTCTTCATGCCCATGGAATTGCTTTGTGCATCAACAGGAAGAACAGAGTTTGTGGTGATTAAAAATGTAGGCACTGGCGTTGTCTTCTGGGCCATAATTTACTAATTTGGGGACCTTGGGTAAGTTACTTAACCTATTTACTTAAGCTTCAGTTTTCTTATGTGTAAAATATAAGTGACAAGAATATTTACCACATGGGGTTGCTGTGGGATTAAAATATCAAGTACTTAGAACAGTGCCTACCATGTCTTATTATTTCAAAATAAGTGAAGCAGCAGAATCTAAATTCCAGAAAAGGGGGCACACATTTATTGACAAAAGAGCAGAATGTCACCAGCACCTGATTACCTTTTGTAAAGAAAGGTCGAATGGCTTTCCAGAGGGTTGGATTATTATTAAATATGATGCCGTTTTCATGCATGCCGATGCACTGCAGTCCAAGTTTGCTGCCGAATCGGGAGCTGTAGTGACTGTGCTTCATTATGTGGAACATACTTGAGGACCTGCAGAGATAGCAAACTTTGGTGTTAATTTTTTAAGGGTCAGGAGAACTCATGGTGATGATTTTGACTACCAGGTGGCTTTCTTAGCAAATGCATGTTGATCTAAATGCAAGGCATTCGAGGGGTGCCAGTCGGTTAAGCGTCCAACTCTTGGCTTTGGCTCAGGTCATGATCTTGAGGTCCTGAGATTAAGCCCCATAGTGGGCTCCATGCTCAGTGGGGAGTCTGCTGGAGATTCTCTCTCCCTCTCCCCCTCCCCCTCCCCCCAACTCACACTCTCTCTCCCTCTCTCTAAAAATAAATAAATCTTTAAAAAAAATAAATGCAAGGTATTCTAGTATTTATATTGAGTAAGTGTTTGTTAGCATAAGAACATCCCTCTCCAGTTGAAATATTCCTACCTACTGACTCCCTGCTTGAGCATCACCAAAGATAGAACACACACACCATTCCTTATTTCCCTTTTTTTTTCTAACTCCATGTCACCAAAATACTACCCATTACTGGGGTCAGAGCTGCAAGGCTTTGAGGAGCTGAGCCCTCCACACCACCAGAGGGTCCTGAAAGCCTCCAGCCCCACTCCAGACAGTGCCACCCCTGCTGGAGTGAGTCTCAGAATTCTGAGTTCCTGGAATTGCCGAAGTCTTCTTCTGTTTGGAACCAACAGTCCTGCCTCAGACCACCCAACCTCAGAATCTCTCATCAGGCCTGGCCCCTCCGGTGAGTATCATTCTGGGCTTGAAGGACATCTCCTGGGCACTACTGGCTCTGGGCTTAGCTGGCTGGGCTGGGCCTGGAAGGCTCTCTGTGGTGGTGACAGCAGCTATCTCGAGACTCTGCATTCCATCCTGACTCATCAGGGTCTCCTGGGCCACAGAGTTCTCTCAGGATATAGTAAGCATAAGCAGATTTACTTCTCTCCATATATATATTTTTAGCAACTTCAAAAAATTTCCACTCAAGTATATCCAAATGGATCGCCATTTTTCTTGGAGATAGGGAGAAAAAGGGAGCAGGGTTTGGGAATTAAAAAGAGGGGCAGAGTGGTTAGCAGAGGAGGTGTAGAGGTTTTTGGCATGCAACTGTGGGAGGTGTGAAGGAAGGGGAGACAGGGTAAACTCAGGAGTCTGACTTTTGGCTATGTTAACAGTGCCAGAGCCAGGCTGCGTATAAATGTTGCCTACCTATGTATGCTCTGAGGGGATTGTAGGCAGACCTCAAGTGACATAACCCTTGACCCTGGGGCTTGAGAACTAAACTGCTCGGGTCTGCCAGGTAAGTTAAAATAGATCCCCCCCTGAAAAACAAACTGAGGGTTCTAGAGGGGAGGGGGGTGGGGGGATGGGTTAGCCTGGTGATGGGTATTAAAGAGGGCACGTTCTGCGTGGAGCACTGGGTTTTATGCACAAACAATGAATCATGGATCACTACATCAAAAACTAAAGATGTAATGTATGGTGATTAACATAACAATAAAAAAAATAGATCCCCCAAAGCTTTTTTTCACCTGAGGATTATAAATTACTCCATGTCTCTGAGATCAGAGTGGAGTTCAGAAGCAGAGATTATAAAATTAGAAAGGAACTAAATATTTGAGCAGAGGAATAGGAAGAAAATAGGCACATCATTGCAAGAAAGCAAAGTATATTTATAAACATCTCTCTGATACTGCAAAGGAGGGAGAACCTGGGCATTTTTCTGGTGTGGGAGGGGTAGAGGGAAAAAAAAGTAACAGCATGGTGCCTTAAATGTGCAAATTCAAAAAAAATATCCGTGTTACATTTTAGATGCTGTTGTTATTTTTTTTTAATTTTGGTGAACTTAATATTTATACAAGTTTTCACATGTTCATTGTGACTTTGGTTCTTCCTCTCCACTTCTCCACTGAAATTTTGTTGCTTGGCTGCAAATTCTCCTACTATGGGGCGTTTCTGAATACATAACCCTTAGAGATGGGGAGTGGCCATTATATAGAATGGCCACCCACATATATAGGTCTATGCACCTGGTTCTTACATTGGTCCGGAGGGGCCATCTTACCACTTGCTCTTCCCTCTTAAAGTTGATACTTGGTACCTAAAAGGATGACTTTGCCTTAATGAAGTTGTTCAGTTAATGCCTGTGAAAACACATTCCCAAAGAAGACACTGGGCCAAAGGAGCTGTGCTCTGGCTGAGTAGATTAGGCAGTGGGCTAAGTATTAGCCAAACCCTCACATTTATGATGGTTCCATAGTCCCATTTAAATTTTAAAAGAAAGACCCTGGAATAATGGCAGTGTCAAGAAATGAAAGCAGAATTATTATATGAATAAATTATGTACTAGATCATTTCTTTCAGGAAAAAATATCTTATTTTCAAATCAAAACACTCTCTATTAAGTCAGATATTCTCTTGACTTGATTCCAAATGATACTCATCAAATGATCGCTGAGTTTTGGACAAGTTTTTTTCTCTCCCTAGCAACAAAAATAAAAACAAAAATCCAGATGCTTCTGTTTGTATTCCAGGGAATTAATTTGACTGACAAACAGCTGAAATTTTGCCCTGTATAGAAAAATCATGCTATGAGAGGACTGAAAAGCTTATTAATAGATTTCAGGACTTTAGCTTCTCTTACCTCCCCCTACTTTAGTCTGTAATGACAGCAGAAATTAAGTAATTTGTACATTCTTTATTCACAAATTCATGTCTAAAAATTTTAAGTGCTCGGAGGTAAAACAGAACACTAATTTTTTCTGTTCTGACCCCTAGAGCTTTTATATACTGCATTTAACCACATTAGCCTGTCCATTTAATTTGAAGAATTCCTAATCAATTTTAAAAAGAGAACGAGACCCCAGACTTTAACCCAACTAAACGTGTATTAGTTAAGAGCTAACTTCAAACATAAATGTGTTCTTTAGGGGGCGCCAACATCTCAGTGATTTTTGAGTCGGAGGCTCGGACTTGGCAAGGGACAAAGACGGAAGTGATACACCTTGCAGGAGAAGAGTGACCGGCTGCAGGTGAGCAATTTAAAACCAAGTCTTTGATCAAAAGGAGGCTGGCTTTATCTAACCAGAGTAAATCAAGAAAGTGAAAAAAGGAAGTTGGTGAAGAACTTTCTTCACCAGGGACTCCAGCCCAGAGCTCTCAGGGCATTCAGGAAAACAGTAGAGACCTTGCTGCAGCCTTGGGGGCCAGCCTGTAACACCAGTTAAGGGAGATGTTATACTGACTGGGAGAGTAAAGATTTCTTACCACTCAAGAGAGACCAAGGCAGTCCCAAGCCCAGAAAGGATAGTGGGTAATGTAAATTGTATGGTAACTGGGGCCATTCTTTTTTTTTCTTTCTTTCTTTCTTTCTTTCTTTCTTTCTTTCTTTCTTTCTTT